CAGGTTGCTTCTGTATCCTTCTTTTGCTTCTCTACTTGGAATAGAGAAACTTCGTCAGTGTTGTGCTACATGGTTGCTTCTTGAGCAATTTCTTCTACGTTTTCACAATTGGAAGGTATGGAGGCTTTGCTTTCCCAGAGTGGTGCGGGAATCAATTTTGTTGATTTGAAAATTCATTTAAAGTGCTCTACCATGCATAGATTTTTGCATTTCATGTTTCTGAACATGTTATGATTCAGTGGGAATATACAGGAGAATCATCTCGAAGTGTAGAGAATGTAGTTGCTAAAGTGCCTGCATTAAGCAAGGGGTCAACATCTGATTACAGTCCTGCTAAACTGTTACTTAATGGGGTTGGCTGGTCAATTCCACAATCACAAGGAATCAGAGGCGCAAAAAACTTGATGCCTCAGAGACGTTTGCCCAATGCTTATCAGAGTTCAGTCCAAACACATGAAACATCTTCAAACCATTTTAAAAGTGAACCGTGGTTTTGGTTCCCTAGTCCAGTTGCTAGCTGGGATGGCTCTGACCTCCTTGGGCGCTTTGGGTGTCCCAAAGATGAATTTCCATGGAAGATAAGAGCATCTGTTTTATCCTCAGTTCGCGCACATCAAGGGGCATTGAGATCTTTAGCGGTTTGCCAAGATGAAAATATAGTTTTCACTGCAGGCATTGGTCTAGGGTTCAAAGGAACTGTTCAGAAGTGGGATTTGACAAGAATAAATTGTGTATCTGGATATTATGGTCATGAGGAGGTTGGTTGTTTCTCTAATTATGTTTCATTCTAAGTAGGCTCTTTCACTTACACTCACAAAAGATAAATAAGTTATCCATAAGGGAGATTATAGTAAATACAACACTAAATACTAATATTTAATGTTTTTGAATATGAATTTGCATTGATAGCTTGACATATAAGAAGCTTTCATGATGTGCTTTTACCACTACATTAGAAGTTGCCATGTTTCTGATAAGACATGGCTAGTAAGTTATGCTCACTGATATACTTCTATCAATTTGTTGAGTATTCAAGGTCATATTTGACTAACAATTGGTGAAAAAACTGTGAAGAGACTAAGTTCCTTTTACATGTCTATCTATGTTCTTTATCTAAGCTTGTTGGATTTTCAGTCATGGCGTGATATATTCTCAGCTAAGCATGCTATACTTTTAGGTAATAATTGTGGCTATTTAAATTTCTCTAATTGCTTTTGGAACTTTCAGGTTGTAAATGACATATGTCTCTTGTCATTGAGTGGAAAAATAGCATCTTGTGATGGAACTATACATGTTTGGAATAGCCAAACAGGGAAGCTGATATCAGTATTCTCAGAACCATCCACAGATTCCCTGCATCTTGCAACCTCTTTATCTTCTCCATCAAAGATCAGTGCTGACCATGTTGATATGTTGAATTCAAGCACATTATCAAGCGGAGTACTGACTAGTCCATTTGATGGAAGCTTGTACACTTGCATGCACTATTTAGAGCTTGTTGAAAAGCTTGTAGTGGGCACCGGAAATGGTTCTCTTAGGTAGCTAGTTACTGTCAAGAGTGAGATAGTAATTGTTAAATTAAGCAGATATAGATGAATGAATCTTGTTCTAAAGCTCCTGTTTGTGTACTTCTAAATGACACAGATTTATTGATGTTTCCCAAGGACAAAAGCTTTATTTATGGAAGGGTGAATTCAGTGAATCTGCTTTTCCTTCTCTTGTCTCTTCCATATGCTCATGTGGGTCTGACAGAGAGCAAAGAAATGGAGGCTCTGCTTCATGGATTGCATCTGGATTAAGTTCTGGTCACTGTCGGTTATTTGATGTGAGGAGTGGGAATGTTATTGCTTGCTGGAGGGCTCATGATGGATTTGTGACAAAGGTATATGCTTAATTCACCAAATTAGTGGGAGAAAGAACTTGTAATTTGAAATGAAATGAAGTTTCATTACATTCATATGCATGCAGTTGGCTGCCCCAGAAGAGCATTTACTTGTTTCCAGCTCCCTTGACAGGACTCTGAGAATTTGGGACTTGAGAAGGTAATCATGATGTTAGAATTATGAAATGGAAATGTATGATGTTTCATTAGGAATACTTTGCAGTTGGGTTGATATCTATTTATTCTGATTGCTTCAATCGTTGTCTATTGTTTCTCGCAGAAATTTACCCACACCTATCACTTTCAAAGGACATAGTGATGGAGTATCTGGTTTCTCTGTGTGGGGGCAGGATGTTATTTCAATTTCCAGAAATAAGATTGGACTTTCCTCATTAGCTAAATCTGCTGATGAAGTACGTAAACAACAATCCACTTTCTGACTTTGTTTCCTCATTAGCCTCCTTTTGTGCTTAAGTATCTTTCCTATATATTGTAGTATGAATTTCCTCATTTGCTGCTATAAGAAGAAAAAGAGATTATCCCTTACTGACAGTGAAAAGTGGTCTGGCAGGATGGGCAACATCGAATCATACCTCAAAAACTCTATTCCTCAGATCATGGAAGCAGGAACATGTCAGTGCTGTCCAGCATAAGTATAATACCCTTCTCAAGGCTGTTTCTAGTTGGAACGGAAGATGGTTATCTCAGAATCTGTTGTTAGATGTGGGGAGAGGTTCCCTCTGATGAATCGCCAATCCCATGTCAAACCAAGAGAAGGAATGGGCTTTGCTTCTCTGTAATTATGTCTAAATGTATGATTTCTTATGAAAATTGAAAATTATTCTTTTTGGCAAATTCCTGGTCTCAATTCTAAAAAAAAATCCCAGCTTTTTTCAGTACTATATATAAATTTATATATAAAATACAAAAAAAAAAAAAGGGCTTGGATCCCTCCTACCCTGTCCCCCGTTTCTTTTGTGTTTTGTCTCCTTTTTAAGTACAAAAGTTTGGGTCCTTCTAATACAAACCAGTCAAAAGAAAATCAAAACTAGGAAAGGTGATGATGATGTCTTCTTCTGGTAAACAATCGGAGTCTGAGGCAGCTTCAAAAGCAGGCGCTGCTTCCATTGAAGACGGCGTTGGCGGCGTGCAAGTCACGACTTTCTCAGAGCTCGTGGATGATGTCACCCTCCACTTTCAGATCATTCGCCTCCCTAAACAGGTATTTCTATCTATGGGTTCACTTTTGATTTCATCTAACCTGTGCAGATTTTATTCGCGAATTACGTATTTTTATTAACTTATTTGATAGATATTTGCATGGATTGGCTGTAACTCTGCTAAATTCGGTGACTTGTATGCCGCCGCTCCTACACGACCTGTAAGTAGTTTGACTGCCACTTTGCTTCTCTTCAATTGATAAAGTCCTGTGTTTGGCTTTTGCCCTTGGGGATTACTTTTAAACAAAATTAATGGCTATGAACAGAGTAATAGTGTGAGCGTGGCTTCCATTCTTGGAGGTGCTTCAGACAACACTGGCTCTGGAATCGCTCGACGATTAGGTCCATTTCTTTGATTTTAGCAACAATTGATTAATGCTAAGTTTGTTCTTTCGGGACGGGATGAACTCAAAACAAATTGACTACTTTTGCAGTGATAAAGACTGGTCTCAATGTAATCGTGGCTTGCAATATGCCAAAGAATAGCCCCATGCTTGAGGTTTTTGCTCTCTCTCTTGTTGCCAATGCATAGCCTTTCAATTCACTTCACTGCTCATTGACATTTAATTTAAGCATCATCTGATCTAGACAGGTTGATCTTCCTGTTCATTATCATCATTTTGTTCCCCTTTTCATTCTGCAGGCAAATGCTGAAAAGAAGTTGGTGGAGAAGCTGATTGCCCTGGGCTTCTCAAGGCCCAAATCGCCAGGGCCAGGGTTGTCTTCATAGACAGAAACAACTCTGTTCCATATGTGCATTGTAGAAGCAACCCAATAGATGATATTAGTCTGCAATGTAGAATCAGTTATGGGATCCTTAGGTTAACTCATTTTATTGATCCAGAAGATAAACACCAACAAAACATAGTGGGCCTGGTTGTGAGTCCTCGGACAGTGTTGATGTAAGCTTTTCTGTTGTATTTTGTGCTTTGATTCTCATGTCAGAAACGGAGTTAATTTTGTGGGATTGATGTTGCTACTTTTTTGATTAAATTTATTTTGGGTAATTGATTCCAAGTTTGCTATTGAGCATCATGCCATACTCAGTTTTCAAAGTCCATCAGTCATATACCACTATTGACTGGGAAATGGAAATTTTCGACCTTCAGTAGGGTTGAGCCCCTGTTCTCAACAATCAATGATTGTCACTTGCTTGTTGTAGGCTAGGCAAGACAGCACGTATGAGTGCGCAGGGGTTTGAAGAATCGCAAGTCTTCTTTTCCTAACCTTAAAGCGTAGACCATGAACGAAGGCTTTGGGAGATTGTACTTGTAGACGTTTGCAATATTTAATGTTAAAACACTAACAGTTCACTTTCACTAGGTCATTAAGAAATTTTTAAGAATACCCTAAAGGCAGTCATCAAGAAATTTTTTTTTTTCTGGTAGTAAAAAGAATGAATTCATTTAATTAACTAGAACTAGAAAGCCCTTGAAATATTTGAAATAAATAACCCAGTAACACTTTGATTTCTAATTGATGAAATATAAACAATCTAATTCAGCCATTGCAGTCCAACTGCCTATGAAATGGGAACAAACATAGGAAGAATTCCCATTATATAACACTTGTAACAAATCCAAAAAGCATTTTGCTTTATTCTCACTTCAATGGATTGCAGAGCATGCAAGGGAAACGTACATGGTATATTCTTTCAAAACTTTTACTTGAAAATTGCTACTTTCGTTTGGAAACCTTAATTACTTGGATGCTTGATTTTTCATTCAGCAAGCAGAGAATGGATGCTTGTTGATTCATCACAACGATCCTCTACAAGCAAAGGATAAGAGTCGAAACCTTAAAAATACCTTTTACGTTTGGAATATCACTTTCGAGGGTCTCCTTATGGAGTTTGTATATATAGCAACCCTTATTTGATTCAACCAGGCTGTGCCTAAGAATTTATTGCCCAGAGTTGTTTCTCCCATGGCTAATCCCATCTCCAGCAACGCAGACGGTAGCTATCTTGATTTACATGTTTGTCTATGCTTTTGTGAATGCAATCCCAGGTTCAGTAGTGCTGTTATATCAATGATACTTTTTTGAACAACATTTATATTTATGGTCGCAGAACTTGCAAGATCTATATCAGAGGCAGCACCAAGCCATTTCACACTAAAGATACAGTCATTTTCGTTACTTACAAAGAATGACATAGACAAATATGAATCTGGAGAGTTTGAAGCTGGTGGATACAAATGGTATGTTAATTTCCTTACAGTATGTTTTATGTTTGCGAGGTAGTCTTAGTGCGCGTTAGCAATTAACCTCTTCTTTTTCTACATGGGAGTTGCACTAGTGTAGCTTTATTAGTATTTTTTCTGTGCTCACAGGAAACTGGTCCTGCACCCAGGAGGAAACAAAAGCAGGAATGTGAAAGAGCACCTTTCTTTCTACTTGACGTTGGCTGATGTTAGTTCTCTCTTTCGTAATAACTGGGAGGTCCACGCTTATTTCCGGTTGTTCTTGCTCGATCAGCGCAGCGACAACTACTTGATAGTTCATGGTATTAATCCCATGTGTGCAGCTTTATTTGTTACAGTTTCAGAATAAACTTTTTTTTTTTTTGTTTAATCTGATTCTTTTTGCCATGGCTAGATGCCACGGGAAAAGCCAGGCGGTTTCACAGATTAAAGTATCAATGGGGATTCGATCAGTTCATCCCAATTAGAACGTTTAATGATGTTTCGAATGGATACCTCCTGGATGACTCTTGTGTATTTGGAGCTGAAGTGTTTGTTACCAAGGAAATGAGCTCCGGAAAAGGAGAATGCTTATCAATGATAAAAGATGCCATCAGCTCTAAGCATGTTTGGAAGATTGAAAACTTTTCCAAGTTAGAGTCAGAATACCATGAATCACAGGAATTTTTTGCTGGTGATCAGAAATGGTATCCATTAACCAGATAATTTTTTTCCTCTTGTCCTATCTGATATTCTAGAGATTCAAGTTCAACTTTCGGGGGCTTTTCCTTCATTCAAAGTTTCACCTTTCCTCTTCCTGATGCAGGAAAATACAGCTTTATCCAAAAGGAAGACGACATGGGTCAGGCAGTCATGTCTCCCTGTATTTGACTTTGGCAGATTCAGCAACTCTTGCGGCTGCTTCTAAAATATTTGCAGAGGTCACTTTGCGTATCCAGGATCAACAACAGAGCAGGCACATTGCTGGAAAAGGTATGAAAGCTCAAATTATCTGTTAATAACCTCCATCAAATAGGTGCATCAGTACTTAAAATTTGCTTTTGTCTTGCAGTAAGTCACTGGTTTAGTGCCTCAAGCCAAGAAAGTGGGTGGGCAAAATTTGCTTCCTTGGTGTACTTCCATCATTCAGGCACTGGCTGCCTAGTGAAGGATATCTGCATGGTGGAAGCAGAGGTGACCGTCAATGCAATTGCTAATACACTGTAACTAATGTTTGCTATAAGAAAATTCAAGCTGTAAAATTTGTATTGCAATGTCATAAACGAAAATTGACAATGAATTGAGGGCCACATGCCCCTTTTTTCCCTCTGGATCCAATCCTCCATTATGAGTTCTGGCTTCGTATTATTGGGACAAAAACAATATAAACCAAAATCAAACAGAAAGGTTAAGGACCTTCGAAAAGTCATGACACTTACTTGGTTGGCACCAATAATTGGGAAACAGATAAGACGGGAAAGCACCTACAGCCGTAGTCTCGTGAGAAGTATATTAAGCCTCGTAAAACCCAAGGAAACTGGAAAGGAAAGACAGAACAGGTCCATAGCGGATCCGCTCCTAGGTACAGCTCCCAACACCTTGCAGAACTGGCAGTGCAAGAATAAAAACACACAAGTCAGGGGCCACCGAATAAGAAGAGTACAAATGCGTGGCCATCCAATGAGAATAGTATTTGCCCTATTCCATGCAAAGATTTTTGCATGTCATGTTTCTGAACATGTTATGATTCAGAGGGAATATATATACAGGAGAATCATGTCGAGGTGGTGCAGAGAATGTAATTGCTAAAGTGCCAGCACTAAGCAAGGGGTAAACATCTGATTACAGTCCTGCCAAACCCTAAAGTTTAATTAACCGCATTTATAAACTTTAAATTCACGACAAGACTATAGAATAATAATTTTATGAGCGTCCATGCAGTTGTTTATTAATACATTGTAACTACTGTGCGCTGTAAGAAAATTCACAAAACCAAACAGAAAGATCTGAAAGGACATTTGTATTGCAACAAACTTGTCACGCAAAGCGAAGCAGGCCATGACTATTTCCCATTCACTTAATTTCCAAAAGAGAATAGAAATCAAAATAGAAACAGTTATTAATTTGGTGCATTATGCGGTAGAATGCATTAATCAAAACATAAGAAAGCAATGAAATTAGAGATGAGACACTCACTAAACTTGAAATAGCAGACAGCTAAAGAGTTGTTAATGGGCTTGACCTCGCTCAAGTGTCATGGGATCATTACCCTCTTCCCATAAAAGAGGTCTATTGGATAGAGACACCTTTTGTGACATTCTCTCATCAGATTCCGACAACGTCCTTGTTACCGTTGGATGAGGTCCGGTTAGACCGGATACCCGGTGTCACGGGGTCATTATCCTTTCCTTAAAAAATGCAACTATTAAGGTGTACAGCACACTCGTTTATAAAGAGCGTAGGACCTTCTGTTCCTATCCGATGTGGGATAGAGACACCATTTATGACACAAAAATCCTTTGTTTCATAATCTAAGCCCCCAAAAAGTAAAAAGATTAACAAGCCCAAACATAGGTCTGAGTTGAAGCCCTAAGAAGTAGAGCCTTGAACGCCGAATCAAGTAGGTTTGGTCGGATCAACTAGTGTTTTGCTATGGCATCTCCCCTTTGCCTCCTCCGTTGTCGGTTCAATTCTCTTGTAGATGTAGTAATTCTGCTTCCCAATTCACCTTGTCCTATATTCCCTCTCATCCATCCATTTGAGAATGATGTTCATCCTAAGCAGTAAGCACGCTACTGGACGTAGGGATAGTGGCCTCTCCTCCCCTGTCCAATCGTGAAATCAGAGTCCATATTATTATTATATATATCAAAGCCAAGTGAATTTACGTAAACTTGACACATACTAATAAATTATTACTAATTAAAATCCTTTTGCTTTTCTTTCTACAGGATAAGGAGAATCGAGAATGTTTGGGCAACCAAACTTTCAAACTCCCCAATTAAATGTATTGTGTCCCTTAAATTAATCTATAAATCAAATGTAAAGTAACTTATCTTTGTTTTTGTCTGAAAGAAGTTTTGCTAACCTTTGTAATGTCTTTGGGTGCTTGTAATCTTGTCCCTGCAGATGTTTCTTTTTTGGTTTCTGCAGGTTTTTTGCTCTTGGTGGATGGAGATTAACTTTTTCCTGTTGGCTGTATTTTGTTCCTTCTTTTAACCAAATGATTCAGCGCTTCAAAAAAAAAAAAAATTAGTTTATTCTATTTTATGTACATTGTATGCATTTGAAATTTGGATGCTTAATAAATTTTCATATTAATTGTTTGAGAAAAAAAAGGAAAAAAAATATAAATCAGAATACAAACAGTTATTAATTTGGTGCATTATGCATTAAGCAAACATAAAAAAAGCGATGAAATTAGAGATAGACACTCGATATTAAACTTGAAATAGCAGACAATTAAAGAATTCTTGATGGCCTTCACATTTTCAGCCTTGACGGCATGCACCATAAAAGAAATAAAAAGTCATGAAATCTTTTATTCATTCAACAAAGAGCAAGTTCTTACATTTACCCTTTGCCTAACCTAACCTAACAAATCGTCAAATTCTACATTTTCACAATTTCCAAATTAAACTTCTACCGGTTGTAATTGACTTGGACTGGAATTTGTAGTGCATTATCTCCCACCACAATATTATGCAAACCAGATGCCAAAAGCTTATAGCCGGAGACATCAACAATGTTCAAGCTTTGACAAGCATTAAGCCCAAAGTTGACCTTCTTGCTCTCTTTTGCTTTTAAATAAACCCTCTCAAATCCAACTAGCTGCTTGATATGAGTTCCATTGATTTCTTTTGGAGGAACTGAGTACACCATAACAACATCACTTCCATCCTTTTGTCCCATATTTTGTACTGTGACGTCAAACGCAATCTCATCCTCACATGGTAAATCATCAATCGAAACTGAAGGACAATCTTGTTCATAATTTTCATCCAAGTAAGTTAAGTTATGGCAATGTTGGAGTCTGTTCAGTTTTATGTCGATAGACATTTCTTCAAATTTTTGCTCGTATGTGAAATTTGTATAACTTAATCCATAACCAAAAGGATAAACTGTTGAGCCATTGAAGAACTTGTACGTTCTTCCAGGATAGTCACCAACTGGCCTTAAA